TAAATTTGATAGACATGTGGAGGAAATTAAACCCTGAGAAAAAGCAATTTACATTTTACTCCAACCCTCACCAATCATGGACACGAATCGATATGGTGTGGATGAATGGTGAATTAGTAAATGAATTAAAAGAGATTGAAATCTTAGCAAATGAATGGGCAGATCACAACCCGATTCAGATAATGTGGAAAGGCAGGAAGAAACCAAGGAAAAGGTGGACCTTAAATACACAATTAAAGAGAAAGAATTTATGAATAAACTTGACGAGGAATTAGACTATTTTGAAAAAGAAAATAATAATGAGGCAACTACGAAACAGAATATTTGGGATACAATGAAGGCAATAATAAGAGGCATAACGATATCATATACTGCTAAAAGAAATAAAGAAAAATATGCCCAACAAAATAAATTAGAACAAAGAATCAAAGAATTAGAAATTCAGCTGCAAAACACTCCAAAAGATTGCAAATTGAAAAAACAGATTATAATAACTAAACATAAATTAAACTTAATCGAACAAGAAGGAATGGTCTCAGAATTAAATACAGCCAGACAGATATTTTTTGAACAGGCCAATAAACCAGGAAGGCGGTTGTCCTATAAACTTAAAAAAGAAAAACAAAAAAGAATAATCTACCAATTAATAGATGAGAACAGGGATGCTCAACAAGGGATAGAACAGAAAAAAGAAATTGCATGTAAATTTTTTGAAGATCTTTATAAAAAGAAGGAGGTAGATGAGGATATAAGAAACTATTTGGATATCACTAAAGATAAAATAATCGAGGAGATGAAGGAAATGTTAATTAAACATATTACATGGCCTGAGTTAAAAGCAGCAATAGAAAACCAAAAGAACAATAAAACCCCAGGACCCGACGGGATACCCAGGGAACTTTATAAAAAAATAGGAGAACAAATAAGACCTTATGGTGGAAGTATATAATGAGGTCCTACTAGCAGCAAGAATGCTGGATTCATGGAAAGAGACATTGATATCGTTGATTCCGAAAGCAGATTCACGACATATACAAAACTATAGACCAATTTCCCTGTTAAATACTGATTATAAAATATTTACTACAATTATAGCAAATAGACTGAAAAAAATATTGAATGAATATATACATAAAGATCAAAATGGATTTCTTCCTAATAGACAAATCAGGAATAATTTAAGGATAGTATTAAATGTTTTGGAATACTACGAAGCCCACCCTGAAAAACAAATAGCCCTTGTATTCTTGGATGCACAGAAGGCCTTTGACAATTTAAATTGGCAATTCCTAATTCAACAAATTTACAATATGAATCTAGGCACTAAGTTTGAAAACATCGTGACTACAATTTATGATTCACAAAAGGCAAATATTATAATTAATGAAGAGTACACGCGCTCAATAAAAATAGAGAAAGGAGTTAGGCAGGGATGTCCTTTATCCCCCCTGCTCTTCATATTATCTTTGGAAACATTGCTTACATGAATTAGACAGAACCCAGGAATAAAAGGACTAAAAATTAAAAAAGAATATAAACTCCAGTCATTTGCAGATGATATGGTATTTTTCATAGAGGAACCAATTGAAACAGGTCAAGAATTACTGAAAGAGTTAGCTCAATTTGGGGAAGTTACAGGACTTAATAGGGAAAAAATGAAATTAATAACTAAAAATTTAACAGAAAAACAAAAACTAAAATTGGAAAGGATAATGGGATTACAAATAGTAAAAAAAGTTAAATACCTAGGAATTTGGTTGACAGCTCAATGCAAAACTCTAATGGAAAATAATTATAATAAATTATTACAGCAAGTTAAAAAAGATTTAGAGATATGGGTTAAATTGCAAATCTCCTTATTAGGGAGGATTACCACTATAAAAATGAATATTCTGCCCAAATTAATTTACTTATTCCAAACAATACTAATAAAAATACATAAAAATTACTTCGTGGAACTTAACAAGATAATCACCAAATTTATTTGCCAAGGGGAAAAACTGAGGAAAAACCTAAAGGCAAATGCAAGATATGAAGAGCAGGGGAGGTATGGCACTCCCAAATTGGGAATTACACTATAGTGCAGCCTCCTTACTCTGGTTGAAAGAGTGAGTAAATCTGTCGAATAAAAGGATCTTATTTTTAGAAGGCCATGAGGGGATGGCATGCATTTTTACGGGACATTGGGAAAGTTAAGCAGAAGTATTTCCACAGACATATAATTTGAGATTCCTTATTGGCTAATTGGAACAAAATAAAAAAACATTATTTAAAAATCCCAATTTGGATCTCAATGATGGAGGCGATGATACATCCAAATAATCTAGATCTTAATAAAATGATAAAATACAAAGACCTTCTTGATGCACAAGGAACTTTAAAATCATGCAAGATCTCCAAGAACAGGGGCTACAAGTAGACCGGTGGGCTTCCTTGCAAATTCAAAGTAGATATAGCCAGGACAAGAAAAATTTTGGAATTTATACTAAGGCACAACAAATAGATAAAATTTTATTAGGTCCAAATAAAAAAAATATAACTAAATTTTATAATTATTTACTAGAGACGGAATTAGAAGAGGAAGTAGTGAAAGGCAACATGATAGCTTGGAGCAGAAACATAGGATGTAGCATTACATTAGAATAGGAAAAGGTTTGGACAAGGAATAATAAAATTACAAGATCAGCAGCATATAAAGAAAATGCCTATAAAATGTTTTATAGATGGCATCTTTCACCCTTGAGAATAGCGAAAATGTCTCCTAACATGAATCCGAATTGCTGGAAATGTAAAAAGAAACAGGGAACCTTTTTTCATATGTGGTAGTCCTGCACTGAAGCCCAAAGATACTGGCATAGAATAAAAAAGTAGTTAGAGAAAATAACGGCGGAGCAAATTGAATTAAAACCAGAATTCTTCCTATTGGTGATATTTAATAGACAAATTCCTAAAAATGTCAAATATATAACACTGCATAGTCTTACTGCGGCCAGAATAACCTTTGCACAGTGTTGGAAACAAGTAGATATTCCAACAGAGGAGATAGTTATACAGAAGATAACAGCCTGTGCAGAGATGGACAAGTTAACCTTAGCACTTAAGGACAAAGAAACATCAGAATATCCCAGAAGCTGGGAATGCTGGTATGACTGGATAGTACAAAAATAGAAAATATATTAATAAATAATGTAAAATGTAAATCATAATTATATATTCGTAATAAGATGTATTTGTAAATGTATCACCAATATTGATAACAAACAAGGAACCATAGACTGTCGATAGTAGAATTGTTAGTTTTTAAATCATTTTCTTTTTTTCTATTTCTTTTGTTTCTTCTGTGTGTTGTGTTTTTTTGATATTTTGGTTTTGTAATCAATAAAGTTTTTTTTTTAAAGAGTTCCTTTTGAAGTGCCTGGCTTTCAGAAGTTCATTCTTTTTTTGGTTGAAGGGGAAAAAGTCCATTGCTTACAGGAATATAACTGATTGCAGGCATGTGTTTATAATTGTTTTAAAACAAGTGAAAGGTTAAGGAAATCTATTTTACAACAGCAAGATAACAAATGCCTACTCTCTACTTAATGCTATAATATATTTTGCTACATTTATTTATTTATTTATTTATTACTATCCCCTTCAATATGTTGCGTGGGGTAGAAGGGGGATGTCTTGAATACAAGGGATCCTTGTATTCAAAGGCTCTTAGGATCCTACAATCCTAAGAGCCTTTCAGTGAGTGCTTTTTCTCAGAGCCTGATGTAGGGACGAATATAAAGTAGCCAGTTTCCAGGGAACAGAAAAGTGAACAAAGGGCTGACTGCACTTTGGCAGAGAATTTTAAGGAGCAGCTTGTAACAAACTTCCCCTCAAAGTCAACAACGTGCTTTTTGTCTTACCTTTCCCTCCTAAGAAAGGAAGAAGACGACACAGCAGCCTGTCTGCTAAGGCTGTGCAGAGCTTTCAAAGAAGGTGCATTGTGAAGTACATTGGTGTGAAAAAGAAGCACCTCTCCTAGCATTAAAGAAGCATTAAAGCAGCTGCATCCTTTGGGATGATTGGTTGCTCCAAATGCTGCCTCCACCCGTCTGTCCCTGCACTAAAGCAGTTGCACAACGAAGAAAACAAGAGTAGAACAACGAGTGCGTGCTAGAAAGATGCCTCTGCTTGTAAGAGGGGTTGCCTGCCAGGAATTTGTCTGCAGAAGAGCTCCTGGTCAGCTTCTCTTTCAGATAACACGTATTGAAGATGGGAAGGAAGTGCAAGAGAACTTGGTGGTGTTTATAATTCCGTGTTTTTGGATGCATCCATCTAAATAGCCATCTGGGCCTGATTGGCTAAGGAGTCATTCGTATGCAGAGGACACCCCATCTCTGCTCCAGCTGAGCGCAAGGGGCTGCTTTGGACTGGAAGGTCTCAATAGCTGGAGTTGCCTAGGCTGGCCGCCTCTTCTGCCATCCTAGAGAAAGGAAGAAGGTTGGGGAAAGCCCTTTTGCCATAAGCCGGGTCTTCTTGTTTCACTCGACCCAATTGTGTGTTGCCTTGGTTTGTGTCATGCTGAGGTTCTGTACCCTTTTGATGTAAGGAGGAGCCTTTCCAGACCAGCAGACACATTTGATTTTTCTACTAGGGAGAGTCCGGTTGAAGGCAGTTCAGTAGGTGTTTGGGTTGGTGAGAGGAGCAAGCCCAGGCAGGAAATCAACTTGGCAGGTAGTGTAAATCTCATTGCATTGAGATTGGCTAAAAATAAAGGAACTTCACACTGCCCCCTTTCCCTTCTTCTGTCCCAGACAGTTGGGGGGGGGGGTCTGCCTGAGTTCCTTCCAAAGGTTATTTCCCTGCTCCAGACTTCAAAAAGCTCCAGCCCCCTTTTGCTCTGTCTGTCTCTGCCAAGGTTGCCTTCCTCACGCCCTGCAGCTTCCCCCATCTGAGGCTACTGTGTCTTGTCACTCCACTCTCCCACAAAAGCCCCCCTCTCAACCTGAGCCCCTCTTTCTTCCTAGGACCACCATATTGGCTGCAGTGGCTTTCCTGGAGGCCTTCCAGAGAGTGGCAGACATGGCCACCAACACCAGAGGTAAGGAGATATGGGGAGCTTTGGGGAGGCAAAATGGTGTACCGCCTGGGAAGGCCCTTCCAGGGCTTGGAGGGGGGGTTTCATTGGCCCAGTTCTGGGAATCCCTCTCCTTCTGGCACCACCCCATGAACTTGGGCCTGGGGCCGGGAAGGTCATCTTCCAAAGAGGGAGTGAGCAACTCCCCCCCCCTTTTAATTGGGGCTCTTACCCTCCCGTTTGGTCCATCCCTTGTGTGGATGGGGTTCCTGGTATGAGAAGCACGCACATTCCTGTTTTTATTTTTGGTCTGGTCCTTTGGTTCCCGGAGAAGAGTCAGCCTGAAAATGGAACATTTCAGAGCATTTTTTTTCCTGTTTGAAGCTTCAGAGCGGAGAGAATTGGCATGCTCAGAAAGGGTTGGTTGCTGGTGAATTTCAGTCTGGATCGCAGATTGGCTAGGGAGGAGGAATCGGAGACTCTGAGGAGCATCAGTGACTCTGGGCAGAGAGTGGATTTCTGCTGCAGGATTTGTCCCTCCCCTCCTCACGCACAGATGTCTTGCACCAATGAACATATTGTGTGTGTAAAACACGATGCTCTAAACAGGCACTCTGTGTGTGTGTGTGTGTGTGTGTGTGTGTGTTTGCATGTATTCCTCTGGCCTTAGCCAGAAAGGAGGTTGAATGCAAGGATGCTTTTAAAAAGGCCTTTGCGTCAACAAGAGAAAGATTCTTAAACGGGGGGGCGGGGGGGGTATTTTCACATATATCCCCTCCATATGTTTCCTTTAACGCCCCTGCTCTCCAGTTTTTAAAATCGCGATTATTAGCCAAACCAGTGCGTGTTTAATAACTGTGTCCATGGTAGGTTTGAATCACCCTGGTTTTGGGGGCTTCTCTGCCAGGGGATCTAGGAGAGGGCTGGGAGGGCTGCAGCCCTTTGGAAGAGAGGGCAGAAGGGCAAGAGGGGTGGGGAGAAAAAGCCACCCCAAGAAGAGCCCGGTTGCACTTCTGGTGGCAAAACCTCCCTTTGGGGTAGGTGGGCATCTTGAACTACTCCAGGAGACCCTTCAAGAAACCAGGGAGGGAGCCGGTCTCAGAGCGAGGGTGGCGTTGGGTCACCTGAGGGTGGCAAGTCTCTGTGCGGGGGGGGGGGGAGGCCCAGAGAAACTCCTCCCAGGTGCCCCCCTGGGGGAGGAGGGTAGCCGCTGAAATCCTCCAGTTAGCCTGGAGAGAGAGGATGCCCGCCTTGCCCATCCCACCTTCTCCCACCGCTTTTAGCCAACTCTGTCTCTCCCTCACTTTGACCCCCCCAAGGTCCCCCCACCCACTCTTGTTTGTGAGGGGCTCCTAGTGAGGAAATTCTACCTGGGTGAAGTTTCCTATGGAGGAATTCATGAAATCCGAGGCGGCCATGGGGGCTCGAAGGGCTCTCCAGATGGCCAGGTAGTCTGAAGGAGAGGCGGCCTCAATGTGGGGAAGTGAATTAGAACCTTGGTGAGTTTCTTTAAGGAGATTTGTTGAAAGTGAATAGAAGGAGGTTGAGAAAAAGTGTTGGCAACCTTTGATTTTAGAGCCAGGTTTACCTCAGAGTCTTTTTCCGGTTTTAATTCCTAGCCGATTCTTTTTGAAGAGAAAACTTGGACAGTCCAGGGTTTTCCAGCTACTTCTGATTCTCTGGCTGTGCTGTCCCAGCTAGTCTATGGGAATTGGATAGTTACTTAGGAATTATGAGCTGTCCCCTTAAGGGAATGCTTCATGGGAAATGTAGTTAAAGGTATCCTGGGAAATGTAGCTCATGTCACACGGCCACATCTGTAATCCTGATTGGTCACTAAATTGACCCTCAAAGGGTTGGGGGAGGTTTCTTCACTCTTGCCTGAACTCTAACTCATGGCAGCTTCTTTCTATCGCTACAAGATGGGTTACTTTTCTGCCTTCTGCACAGAGGTGGATTTGAAGCTGTACAGATGCAGATAGACAACTCAACAAGATGTCCATAACAAGTTACATTTATTAGTTCATCAGGTATCCTCATAACCCACGTTTGTGACGAAGTTCTTCTTTAATGACCAATCCTTTGCATATCTGCTTTATAGTAAAAGATGGTTATCTCCTAACACATATCGTAGCGATAGAAAGCAGCTGCCATAAGTTAGGGAATTCAGGCAAAAGTGAGGAAAACTCCCCCAACCCTTTGAGGGTCAATTTAGTGACCAATCAGGATTACAGATGTGGCCGCGTGACATGAACTACATTTCCCAGGATACCTTTAACTACATTTCCCATGAAGCATTCCCTTAAGGGGACAGCTCATAATTCCTAAGTAACTATCCAATTCCCATAGACTGGCTGGGACAGCACACAGGCTCTGAACAAGCCACCAGCTCCCAAAGCAGCCTGCCCCACAGAAACAGGCCCCAACGATTCCAAAGCGATATGGGGTGGCTGGCCCTTTCTCCCCCTTTCTCCTCCTCTTTTCTTTCCTGAGGGGAACGCTCAGAATCTGCTTTATGGATGGCACCCCAGAGAGGCTCTGGCTTCCATGGGGCTGGGGGCAGGGGCCAGAGCAGTGATGGGTTCTGCTGGGCTTTGCAACAGCCTGGAGGGAGGCCTCCACCAGAATCCAGGGAAGGGGGCGCTTCCTCCCGTCTCGTGCTTCCTGGCCCCTGGGCCTCCTTGTGGCACGACTCTGCTGCTGTTGCCCAAGGTGAAGACTTCCAACTGGCTGTTTTTCCTGGGGGGTGGGGTGGGGGAGGGAACTTACAGCATGGACCAGATATGGTTGGGTAGGGTTGGATTGTGGAACTGACCAGAGAACAAAATCCTTGAAGGTAAGATGGCGGCTGCTTCATTGTGCCACTGCCAGAGGACATCACGACCCTTAACCGATGGTCGTCCTTGCGCGCGGGGGGGGCGCTCTGGGAGATGTCTCCAGCCTGCCTCCTGTGGAAACCTTTGGCCCATGCCCTCCAAGAGCCCCCGGGTGGGCTGACCTAGTCCATGATGGCTTTGCCGGTCTGTCTCTTCAGTCTTTTCCCCAGTGGGCTGACCTTTTGCTCCCCGCCTTTGCCAGTTAATCACAGAGGAGCCTCTTTTCTCTCCAGGAGCCACAAGGGATATCGGCTCGGCACTGACCCGGATGTGCATGCGCCACCGCAGCATTGAGACCAAGCTGAGGTACTTCACCAAGTAAGTGTGCTGATTCTCTTGTGCAGCTCCATTGCCAAGAGACATTTCCCTCCCAGAAATAATGGGGGAGCAAAGGACTTGGACGGGGGGAGGAGGGCCTTCTGGAGCAGGCGGCCACTTCCTGGACCAGTCTTGCTCCCTCTGCTCGGTGGCCAATTCCCTCAGGCCAGGGGGGCCTTTCTCGCACTCCAGGCTGGTCTCCCTCCCCCTGAGGTTGGGAGACCCGGGCATTTTTCTGACATGCAGAGCAGAGGTGCCCACAAAACCTGCAACCTGGGGAGTTGGGGGGATCCACTGGACTGCTCAGTAGCCCGATTGGCAAATGCAGGGCATGCTGGCTCTAGAAAGCCTTCACTGGGCCCATTCGGAACCCTTCCCTTTATCCCTGCGCCCGGAAGGGCTTCCTGCCCAGTGGAAGCAGGAGGAGCTGGGGCTGAGGGGTATGGGGGCTGCGCTTGGTTCCAGAAGGCGTCACTTGGCAAGGCAGCATTTTCTGCGTGTGTTTCTCTCTCTCTCTCTCACACACACGCACGCACACACACAGACTGTTCAAAAGGGATCCCATTTCCAGGCCGCTTTGTTTAGGGCAAAAAAAGAGGAAGGTGGCTCTCGCTGGCTGGAGGCCCCGGGGCTGCTTCCAGAGAAGGGGTAGCTGCTCCGCTGCTCTTCTCGGCCTCAGAGGAAGCTCACCTCTTCTTTCTCTACGGCTGCAGTGCCCTCATGGAGAGCCTGATCAACCCGCTGCAGGAGAGGATCGAGGACTGGAAGAAGACCGCCAACCAGCTTGACAAGGACCACGCGAAAGGTAGAGCAGCTGCCCCTTGGAGCCGGGGGCCATGCAGGGAAGGAGCTGGCAGGGTGTGCGGGCACCTGGGGTGACTGGAAATGGGAGAAAGCGGTGGGCCATGGCCCTCAGTGCTTGTCTTCTGCCCCTGGGAAAACCTATAGCTGTGGGGGAGCTTCACGGTGGCCTCTTTCCTGCCTCTTCAGAGTACAAGCGAGCCCGCCACGAGATAAAGAAGAAGTCTTCTGACACACTGAAGCTCCAGAAGAAAGCCCGCAAAGGTGAGGATCTGAGGGTGTGGGAAGGAAGAGACGAGGTGATTGCAGGGACAGCGGCCAGGCTGGTAGAAGTGGACAGTCTCCTCCTCAGGACAGGAAAAGGGAAGGGCGCCTTAATTGGAACTTGCCTCCTTGAGAGATTTCAGCTGCTGTTGCTCTCCAGGCTTGAAAGGTGGCAGCAGCAGCTGACATCTGGGATGCCAGAAAGAAAGGCGGCTGCCTCGAAGGCCCCTTCCCCCTTCCCAGGGTTTCTCGTTGGCCTTCCTGGCCACGGCCCTTTGGAAGGAGCTACGAGACCCAGCTGGCAGGAGAGCAAGCGGCACCTGAGCACCTGTCCGCTGGCTTTCCCTGGATGGGGTGGAAAGAGGCAGATGTTTCCAGAAGGTTCTGCACCTGGTACTTTCTGCAGAGGAGGAAGGGAGGGGGGGGAGGAGGAGGAGGCAGCTTCCGTTGAAGATTGTGTGGGACCTGAAATGTGCTCCAGGTGGCAGCTTTGGGGCGTTCTCCGATTTCGCTCTGCCCTCCTGCAAGGCCCTTGCTCAAGGGAGCCTCTTGCTCCATCCAGGTGTGATGGAAAAGCTAATCGCAGGAAGGGGGAGGGGTGCCTCCCTGGGGGAAAGAGGCAAAGGAGTTTGGGCGGGGGGGGGCGCGGAATCGGTGTACCTGCCTTCTTTCACACATTCTTGTCTTTCTCCTCTTTTTCTCCTTCCCACATTCTTCTGTAGAGCTACTTGGTAAGTCCAATGCTGCCAACCCAGCTCCCACCCTCCCTCCCTCCCTCCTCCATGGCCTTCGCTTTTTGCCCTCTTCCTTCACCATCCCACCCAGCTGGGCCTGAAATGAAAGAAAACCTCCTAGGCCACCGTAGCTGGATCCCTTGAAGTTCCCAGGGACCGGACTCGAGTTCCACCTTGGTTCTCCTTCAGAAGGAAGCCCTTGCTTTCTCCTCTCCCCAGGGATTCCCTCCCAGGAAGCCTGATGAAATCACCTAAACGATTCTTCAGATCTTACATTGTAGAGGCCGCACGAGCAAAGGAGAGAGAGCTGCTTCAAGAGCCCCGTTTGTATAAATTGCTTCTTTTCTGCCCTGCTGGCAAATCTAGTAAATCCACTCACTTCATTGACGTAAATACAGCATTATAGGACTGTAGATCAAAGGAACCATCAAGCCAGACACAAGACTGAGCCCAGAAATCCAGACTTCCTGACAGCTGGATCTCTGTGAACAAGAGCCCGCCAGTTCTCTGGGTCCACAGTCTTTATTGGGAATTTTAAAATCTTTATTTACTTTTATACATGCAGATTAAAACATTTCTGTATTGCCATAATCCATCACAACTCAAGGCCACTTATATGGTAAATTTTAACTTGAAATCTGCCTCCTTATTACTCAAACCTGTTATTCTGGGTCTTGCCCTCTTGATACAAGATAGAACCAGTCTTGAACTTGTGTGATATCCTTTCAGGACATTAAAGAGGGCCCTCCTCCTCTCAAGCTCTCTTCATAGGATCTGGCTTCTTATTTGGTGGACACCATCCTTGCCCTTCTCTATCCCCATCAATTTTGCTTAAATCCTTCTTGAAGTGTGGTGCTCAGAACTGGATTTCCTGCAGAAAGTGGATCTAACCAAAGCAAAATGAAATGGATCCCTGACTTCTGGTTTGGAAGATACACTCTTGTTGGTGCAGCTGAAGGCTGCAGACTGAATAGAGTCATCTTTTGAGATGCCAGATATTTCCAATATTCCTGCCCCGCTTCTGTCATTGTCATTGGGAAGGTTTTGCTTCTCTTGGGAAGGCTTTTTCTGGGCTGGGATGGCCAATCTCTCCTGGTGGCCGACTGGACAGGTCCCAGCAGTCTTCTTAGCAAGGCTTCTCAGAGGTGGTTTGCCGTGATCTCCTTCCGGAGCCTGAGGGGGAGGGATCAGCCCAAGGCTACCCTGCTGGCTTTGGGCCCAAGGTGGGACTAGAGCTCACTGCCTCCTGGTTTCTAGCCTGGTGCCCCTAGCACTAGGCCACACTGGCTGTCTTTGGGAGGAGCACATCTGCACATACTTAGGAGAAGTTGCTCAGAAGTAGATAGCCCAAACCTACTTTTCAGGTGGGCTCATCAGGTACATGGCAGCACAGGGGGTTCTTAGTCACTTTCAGGGGCTGCAAGTTGTCACATGCATTTGCGTCACCTTTTGCCCTGGCCAGTGGGAGGCTTGGAGTTGGGACATACGGGATTCTGTCCCACTGGAAGTATCCAACTGTCGGGGTTGTCTCAGATCGGTTCCTAGGAAAGAAAACCCTGGACTCCATAGATTCAGAGAAAAGGTACTTTTACTAAGAACGAATGCAGCAAAAGTCAGGCGAGGCCTGAAGCAAACAGGTGTGAAAAAGACACACTGAAACTCGGCCCCACCCCCAGTGGTCAGGCAGACAGAGTCCAATCATTGGCCAGGAAGATGTTTTGGGAACGTCTCAGGTCCAGGTGCTCCATGCCGCTGTTGTGCAGGCTGTTCCCAAGACGGCCTTAAACAACCCGAGCTGGCCTCTCGGAGTCCAAACTCCCCATCTACTCTCACGCCACTTGCATGCTTCCCCTCCCAAACGCCCATTGCTCCCTCCCTCCCCCGTTTCCATAGCAGTTGGCAGCAAGCTTGAAGGAAAGCGATGATGACCAAGGCCAACACCAACAAATGACCTTGACTTTTCCTGTCAGCGAACAAGCTTTGGCCCTTGGCTCCACAGCACCCACCAGAAGGAAGCTTTTATTAATGTGCAGTTGGAATCTGTCTTTCTGGTAACTTAAATGCATTGCTTTATGTGCTGCACTCTGGAATGATAAAGAAACAACCTTGGACTGTCTACAACATCCCTCTTGGTCCCCTGTTTTGCAGCTCCTTCAGTCTCTCGTCAAGGGAATTTGTTTCTAGGCCCCAATCTTCCTAGCTGCACTGAAACCTGTTCCAGTTTTTCCGAATCCTGGTGTGTAGTTTTGCAACCATATCGCGCTGCTGCTCCCTATCCAGTTCATAGCGATGCTTTCTGTTCAGTTGGGTCTGAATCTCAGCGGTTTCATGGACCAGCTCTCTTTACATTTTCCAGTGTTGTGAGGCTTCTTTCAGCTGTTTTATGTCCAGCTGGGATCGATTCTAATACGGTGTAAGCCTTGTGGGGTTTTGGCCACCTCATTTCCTTTTACCTCTGAGCATTCCAAGAAAACAGCTTTCAGTATGTAGTCAATCAGGTGAGGTTCAGTTAAAAACCTTTTCACAGGTATTACTGCCCAAACTGGCTACCCAGCATCCTGTATCTGTTTCCTAAGCTTGGTTCTTTTCGGTCTCCTCCCGTCCGCCTGTTTCCTACAGCTCTGCCAAACGGGGTCTAGAGAATCTACTTGATTTTGGTCCTGTGACCGTGTGTGTGTGTGTGTGCGCGTGCGCGCCATGGTTGTGGAAAGTGGTTGGAGTCACTTTTTTCAGTGCAGTTATAACTTCAGAGGTCACTAAATGAATGGTTGTAAGTCAAGGACTACCTGTCTCTACCTGTCTTCTGGAGGGCGCAGCTCCAGACTCTTGGCTCTTCTTGCGTGGAGGCTGGTTTCCCCCCTCAGAGGCTCCTTGGCTGCCAAGAGGCGGCCTCTTGTCCCTAGTTGTCTCTTGGGAGAACCGGGGCCTCCGCATTGCAGGCCGGGGACAGCCTCAGACGGCAGTGGCTTCTCCAGGGAGGCCGGTTCCTTTGCAAACAGGAACGTCAGTGCGGGTCTCCCCTGGGAACTTTTTCTGCAGTTCGACTCGACCAGTGCGAGGGAGCTATCGTGGCTCTATATGGTCAGCATTCAGTATCTCAGAAAAGTGTGTATTCTTGTACGACTAATAAGACACACATAATAAAAGGATCCAGGCTGGGTTTCATTTTGGGCCTGTGCAAAATCCTCACCAGCCCCTCTCCTGCCTCCTCCTCCTCCTCCTCCTCTTTCTGTCTGGTCCAGCTCTCCTCTCTGGGGATATCAGTCTGGGAACCAATGCTGAGATCCACCCTCTGATCCCAGAGGCAGCAGCGCCTCTGGGATCCCCAAGAGGGCCAATGGATGCAGAAGGGGCCAAGCCCATGGGATGTGCGAAGAGCCCCATTTTCAAGAGGGCACTTCCACCCTTCTGAAAGGGCAAAACAAACCAGCTGATTTCCAGCTATTTACTCAGCTTACCTCTGAGTTGGTCTGAACTTGGCTGACAAAAGTCCTTTCTGTGTGAAATTGCCTATTCGTTGGCATCAGTATTTTTGCCGCCAAGCAGGATGTCAGGATCTCAGCCTTCGCTCCCCAAATCCTTGGCCTCTGCTTGGCTGTTTCCAGACTTCCCTGATTCTCCCCGCTCCCCCCGCCTCCCATGCATGTTGGCTGCTGGCAGTCGTGGTGGGAAGATTCTTTGAAGGGGAACAGGATCCACCTGCCGCTTTTGCTGTGACCGGGTGTGAGCCCAGCGAATATTGTGCCGGAGCAGCTGTTCTCAGACCTGGTTGGCTCTTGTGCTATAAACGGGGAGAAAGACACACACACACACTGTGATTCTGCAAAAGAGGCCCTGTGGCAGCTGGGTTTATTCCCCCTGTCCACAGGGGTGGTGGAGAGGCTGTTCTGGAGGACCGCGACAAACTCTGCAGAAGAGCCGATGAATGTGGAAGCTCTTCTGCATTTTGGGGTGCCATCCTTTTATCTGGCGTCCCTGGGATGAAGCAAGAGGGAGCCAAAAACCTCCGGTCAGCCAGTCTCTCTGGCCTGCTGGACCTTCGTCCATGGGTGGGTGATGGTGCCCACTGCCTGAGGAAGGGCAAAAGGGATTTCCATCAAGGAGGCCAAATTCCATCTTGGGGGCTCAAAGCCACCAAACTGCTTGGGAACCAGATGAAAGTGATGAGGCTTTCGGCACTTGGCAGAATCGTTGCAGCCCAAAAGACTGAGTTTGGGCCAGGAAAAGTGTCCCTTACTTTCTAGCGTTTGGAAGCTGTAAAAGAGCAGCCCTCTCCTCTTTTGCCTCAAATGCTTTCAGCCCACCTGATATGGAAGTGCTGCCTCTTGTGGAAGAGCTTTAAGATGGAGACCGGCAGTGGTGGGATTCAAAGTTTTTTACTACTGGTTCTGTGGGCGTGGCTTGGTGGGCGTGGCAGGGGAAGGATACTGTAAAATCTCCAGTCAGAGGTGGGATTTGCCGATTCTCCAAACTACTCAGAATTTCCACTACTGGTTCTCCAGAACTGGTCAGAACCTGCTGAATACCACCTCTGAAGACCGGCCTCCTCTATTGGAAATTGGTTTTGGGCCTGCAGGCTCTTGAGGCCCAAGGAATCAATTCCAAGATATTTGGAGGGCTAAGTTTGTCAAATGGTCTTCTCGTTAATTTCCCATCTTTATTTATATCTAAATAGAAAATGCATATATATTTGAATAACTTCACTGTCAGTTTGAATGTACATATACATTGAATTGGCATATAGTAAAATGAAATTTTGTTGCATACAATTGTCTTTTTTTTAATGAACTTTTTATTTAAAAAAAAAGACAAACACTAACGAACACAAACATAAAACATCAACATAAAGCCCTCTTCCAAAATACAGTGTATCGGTTGGTACATTTCTTTCGTGCAATGTCACGATATTAACGGTCTTTCCTTCCAAACATACATTCATATTACATAAGTCAACTATACATATTATATTATGTTATATTGTATTATTATTGTATTGT